TCTCTTTTAAATTGTCAACTCAAATAAATGTTATTAAAATACAAATTTTCGGAAAATACTATCTTTTCAAAATCGAAAATTGTAATAAAATAAAAGAATACCAAGATTGTAAAAAAATACAGTGCTATTTCATACGTTATTACATACAAAATTCATGTGACACCATTATTTACTTTAAATAATCATATAATTAGAGGTTCTTAGTTTATGATGAATAATTGATTTTTTATATGTAGGGAATACGAATATTCAGTTCTTAGTGTATATTATAAAATTATTAGTTTTCGAACTGCAAAGATGAAACGAACAAAAATAAATTGAAACTATAATTAAGTCCAACATATAAAATTAACTTACTAATTACTGATTTTCTCTGGAGAGAACATATCTATTAATTTTAAGAATCAATCTAAATAATTTTGAACATTTCAAAAATTTTCAAAAAAGCATATTTTGATTCGTTTCTAACCGCAGTCAGTATTTCATTATTTATTTGTTATACAATTAAATATTTTAGTATTTATTTATCATACAATTTAATTATCATTATTAAAATTTCTTGCCATTGTATGCTAATTCATATTCCGAATAATATCTAATAATTGTATGAAGAACAAACAATTTTCTGCGTTTAAAGAAACGCTCAGCTCTGTCAAAGCATCAGCTTTAAAGCGCGTATATTGCCGTGTCTTCAATTAAACTCGACTCGATGTATCGATCTTACCAATTTAAAAATACGCTTGTGCTGCGTGTGTCGAAATACGTTCGATTTGGAATTATGAAAATTTCTCGCAATCGGAAACAATTTGCGTCGACAAAACAAGTACGAATCCTCGAGCCACGATTATATTAATTATTCGAACTGTAATTATAATAATTATTCAAACAAATTGTATTAATCGCTATATTATTTGTTCACTCAAGTTACATTATTTGTTTTACAAAATATCCATGTTATGTTCACAGGCGTTTCTTTTTTAGATAATTTCATGAAATGGTTTGTGGAAATGGATTTGAGACGCTCTGGAAACAAGCTTGATTCGTTTCGTATATTCGAACAGATCGCCGATAGTTTTCATCAGATGATTATTCTGCGTCAATGTACAGCTCGTAACTTGAAATCCGCCTTTAGCATGAACTGCCGCCAAGGGAAATAGTCTCTGACTATTGCATCGCCTAGAATAATCACCCTTTCGTGACCGTTTGCTGGCCATCGATATCGCCCTAACCACCTTATGGCGAACGTTGTCAAGTTTTAACCAATCTTAAAAATTATCATATAAAAATAATGACAAATGTCAATTTATAAAATTTTAGTATCAACCTCCAACCAAAAGTGTAGAAATCCAACAAATTCTAACCTATAAACATTATTTTATTCGCTCGACCTTTGTGCGGGTAGCCATTGATGCTTTATTATTACAAATTTTTAGTTATAAGTGTCTAGACAATTTTGTTATACCTTGATAGTAATATACAAAATTGTTAAGGAAAGTATCAAATGATTACTCGCAGAAAGGTTACGTATTAGTAGCGATCGACAGACAAATATAGAAAAGGAGGAAATTTCCGATATTAAAATTATTTAGAAAAATACAACAATAAGTATTGTTGCAAATGTAACAATAAATACTGTTGTAAATGTAACAATAATTATTGTTGTACTGTTATCAAAGAATTATCCTTGACAAACCTAATGATTATTCTCGATAATCATGCGCCATTTTTGTTTATGTTCCGTGTAACCAACGTTCATAAATACCTTGTCTTAATAATTAATGAATTACAATCTGAAGTTTCGGTGAACGGTCCCGAGGGGGTCGATGTATGCGTGTAATTATTTTTCTTGTAAATACAAAAGCGAGGGAAATAGTAATTCGTGTTTGTCGTTGTCCGAGAATGTATTGTACAATGAATTTTATAACGAACGAACGATGCGTTTCATTCCTTCCTGCTAGGTAGATGATAACAGCGAAGATATAGTTAATAATTTATAATTCCGGTTATTTTTTATTAGAATTGTAACCATACGGCATAATTGAGCCCTCGAATTTGCTTTTCAGCCATTCATCTTAATTAATTGTAATATCGTCGTTATTTGTTTGTTTCGTTTTTTAAATTGATTACCGACATCTCTTGCGTGGAATGTTTATGATTTTGGTATCTCGTTGAAGGATGAATGTGTGACGATTTTTCTACGGATTAATTTCATCGTGTTGCGTGTCGCCATCCTTTGTATATCGAGCTGATTTTTCTGTACAAAAACAAGAACGACGAAACATGTGCGCCACACACAGTTGTGTTAAATGCGAGAAATAAAATGATGTCTTAAGGATAACTTATTCTGTTTAATTTTATCCTTGTATGCAGCTCTTTTTCTTCTGAATCTCGCTACAAAACTAATTATATTTATTAGCTTATAACAACTATTTAACATATTTAGTTCAGCTCACATATTTGGCGTGTAACAATTATTTTCTTGAGATAATAATATCATTTGCTTAATTATTTAATCATTTCATTTTTTAATGTTCCAAAGAAGCTATGCATACATTAGAAATTACATTTGTTATTTGTTTATTTATTTTCATTCTGATAAGTGTTTAATTTGATATAAAACAAACATTTTAGTTAATTTCATATAAAACAATTTTCTTTGCAATATAATCAAATTTATTATTTCACTGAGAAAATTGAAATTAATAAGTTGAAAACATAGAGTACTACCATATATTATTTTTTGTGTTACTGTACGATTTGAAAGCTGTGGTCTACACTTTCCTTTACTAACTTGCAAGAAAGCTTTCAAAGAATTAAGTCGACTTTGACAATTGAAACAGATTCATTCTTAAGATCAAACACAATTCATGTTTCCTCTTATTAGAATTCTCTTACGATTTATTTATTAAAAAACTTGTTAATAAGATAAAAGACTTAATAAATTTATGTTGAACATTTAGGTTTCCCAAATAAATGTTAGCTGTCGATAAAAGGTAAATCTTTGAAGTTTGATTTTTCATAACAATTTACGTTTTTACTTAAGGTATCGCATCGATTTAATATACAAAGAGACATAAAATACAATAATGTACTGTATTCTTACATGTTTCATTAAATTTATGTTTGCGCGCGCGCTTTTTGAAAAACGTCGCTGCCGCCACGTAGCAGTGTATGATGGTACTACAATAACACAAAATTGTATTTTTCTTTAAAATTATCCATTTTTATGTTTTCTAAAACAAGTGAAATATTCCATTCTCGCAATACAGTCGACATAATGGTACCACAAAACGTTGAAAACGAAAATAAAAGGAATTGTAAACTTTGTGGGTAACAAAATGCTCAGCCATCTAGCAGTGAAAATGGGAACTAAGTTGGAATTTCCTTACCTTAAGAAATAATAAGAATGGTAAATAGAACTTTTCTTGACCAACGGCTTTGATCGTAGAATTCTCCTTGACCGACGGCTCTGATGATCACCACATTTTCGATTCAATTCAAATAATATTCATTTCATTATAATATGCATCAGATTACAGCGGAATACAAGATTAATTAACTTCGGAATGTTTTTTAACTTTACCAAAACATTAAAGAAAATATCGTGCAATAAGTAGAGTTTCGATTGATTGATTGATTGATTTTATAAGGGCCTCGACTGCTATGATCATTGGCCCAAATAAGTAGAATTATAATTTAACAGTGAATCATAGCTCTTAGCTCGATCAGTTACCGACGCAGTTAATTTTGTACACAAATTGCAACTTTAGGTAAAGAAGAATTCCAGAATTACAATATCAATTGGAACCAATTTTGCATCAACCTTAATATTTGAAATTAAATTTCAAAATATTAATAGATATTTGTTATTTGAAACAATAAACAGAATATATTTACATATATTTAAAAAAAATACAACAATAACTGGTGAGGGTTGAAAAAGAGACATGAATTTCAATGCATAGAATAAAAATTTAGCGAAAGTTTACTTAAAAATTTAAAATAATATTAAAAAGAATATATAATCTTTTAATGTCATATAAAAATGTAATAATAAAATAAAATCTTGTAACGCATAAAAGTTAATAAAAACGATATAAATTTTAATATTTGTAATAATACTTTGTTAAATAAACAATTGCAAAATTAAAAATTTCAATCGAAATTGTCGGTTTTACAAATACAGGTATGGATGACGTAGTTTTTTTTCTGTACATAGGGGAAATCTTCAAAAGGTACCCCACGTCGATTTTTACCGGCTAAAACCCCCACGATGGTCCTTCCTCGGCGCATGAGGGGGCGCCAGGAACTCTCTAAGACTCTAAGAACATGAATGAGCCCCCCGCGCCATTAATGTCATCCCGGGGGAAGTTGGAAAGACCTCCCCCATATAACCAAGCTAATCTTTACGGCGGTGTCTGGACCACCGAGGCACCACCGACCGCTCTGGGGCTGCGTGCACGGCATCCTAGGCCCCACCCAAGACGCCACTGGCCCTGTGGCGGCTCTACAAAGGGGAGGCGTATTACGGAGCCGCCGCTACACTGCCGGGTGACGAAGTTCCCCGGTATTGGTGGATTGCATGATAACTGATTGGTCCACAGATCACCTATCATTGATAACTTAAGGTCATAGGTATTGTCCAAGCTGCCTGGTATTGGTGCACTGACATGATTGGTCCGCGGTTTACCTATTATTCTTAACTTGATAAGCGTTACAGGTGTCCAGTCAGTGATGAGATATTGGCCGGACCGCAAAACCGAAGGAAACCGAAAGGCACACGGCAGTGATGAGATATCGGCTGGGTTTTTTCGCGCATGCGCAGCAATTTTAGTCTCAGTAAAGTACAAGTTTCAATAAAATGGGGTATCTTAATCAGTCTTCATTATTTTTCGCTGCTTTCCCGCCAACAACACTACGCCACTAAAGAGATACACCACTAAATAGATACACTCCTGCATTTCTCGCGCATGCGCGAAAAAACCCAGCGAATGTCTCATCACTGTGTCCAGTACTGTTCAAGCTGCTGAAGTGTTCGGATCGACCGTAACACCTCCTACCGGTACGAGTCAAAGCATTAATTGACTGACAATTCTTAGTTTAAATTAATTTTATTTTTTCGAGGGATGAAGCCAGAAGAGAGGATTCTGACCACCTTCTGGGTGCTGCTATGACTTTTCTTCGATACATGGAACAACAATACATAAACGTAGGCACATTTGCGATCACCTTACTTCGTTATCGAGCCAGTTATTACATTTTATAGATCAATAATAACTTTGTATTTTATTACGTTGTAGAACTGAAGCGATACCTACTTCGTTCAACACTTAAACTAACCACGTAAGGTAACAAGGCGAATCCGAAAAGAATAAATCGATAGACATCAACCACGATACACTATATGTATACAGGATGTTCAGAGATTTACTACCCAGCGGTTTTCTCGTAAACGACTAGTACAAGAAAAAAATGAGAGGAAAAAGTGATAGTGTTTTTTATAATCAACATAACGAAGTGTATAAACTTTTCGTGTTTATACTATTTTTTGAGAAGTGAAGGTAACTTTCAGTTTTTTGAATGGAATAGTATATATTTTTTTATATCATATGAAAGGGCGTATCGAAACGAATTCAACGATGTATTACATCATGACTTTGAGACCCATTCAGAGTCTAAAACAAACGAAATGTTTCAAATATTTCGTATTACTGTACTTACCGTAATTTTTCTACTGATCTGTTTACATTTCGTGTTTAATGTGATTTCCATTATCTAGAAAGCACTTTTGGTGGTTTTGTAAAATGATTAGGTCTGCGTTAGTGTTTACTTCTATTACAAGGTGTGCAGAAATATTTGAGCATTATTTCACAGATTGGTTACTGATATCTAGTGCGATGTATCGTTTTAAAGCAAAAGATAACAGGCGCGTGTGCATCAGTACCTCAAACAACAATACCAGAAGCCACCAAAAGTGTATTGTATAGGGCACAAAAGTGTATATAATAAGAACTTATTATTATATTTACACTTGTATCTATGCATGTATGTAATTAATAGTTGTACGTACTTTCAATATAATTACAACTTGTATACAATAAAAAATATGAATAAACGATAAGTAAAAAAAAGAAACAGTGTACTCATTTAAAAAACCTTTCCCAACCATCCAGAAACATTACACAAAACTATAGAAATGCAAAAATAAAAAAAAGTACGAAAGAGATACGCAGAAACCACTAAAAATGCAAAGAAATTCGAAAAAATCGCAAAATCAATTCCTCCAAATTTCTGAAAATAATGCACATCGAAGTCCCACGAAATTCCTCCGAATCCGAAAATCCTCCGTGCCACCTCCTAACACATCATATTCTCCTGATACCAAATTCTGTATTCTGGACCCTGATTCCGAAATTCCATCGTGCCACCTCCTCACAAACCATAGTCTCCTGATACAGCATAGAGAAACATTACGTGAATGTTTGACAACGCAAAATTGAAAAGCAATCTAGAAAAATGTACGCAAAGTAGTCTAAAACACATAAATCGAATTCAGGGTCCGTATTTCGGAATTTAGAAACAGGAGAACATGATGTGTGAGGAGGTGGCAGGATAATTCATCGAATTTTAGGTTCGCATTCTAGAATTTGGTATGAGCGGAATATGATATATAAGGAGGTGGCACGATGGAGTTTCGGATTCAGGGTCTGGATTTTGGAATTTGGTAGCAGGAGAATATGATGCGTGAGGAGGTGGCACGATGGAT